TAAAAAAGCTCACTTTCTTGAACATTAAGATTATTATTGCTCAAATGTATAACTCATCTTGTATATAAAGTTGGTAAATAACCTAGAATTAACAAAATGTTGAAATTAAGTCTCTAACAATCAACATTCATAAATCATTTTTATCAAATGTTAAGCTTTTTTAGCTTCTTCTTTATTTTACCCAAACCAACATGACTGAAATTCAAAACAAAACTGACTTCTGATTCCTACATTTTAAAAACCGACTGAAGTGTGAAGTATAAATGTAAAGTGACAAAACTCCTAACTAAACTATCTAGAAGCAGGATCTTCAGTTGCTACAGAAACCAGGTAACCAACACGACAGATAAAATGAGGTGTCTCCTCATTTACTTCCATGTAAGCTACTTAATCGGCCTGTCCATTGCTTGTTGATCTAACCCTGGGCAGTCAGGGAAGTGACACTACCACCCTGACAACTTATCAACATGACCTCCTGTTGACTGCAATTATTGATCACATATTTAACGTGATCAGTTTTCAGGAAAGTATCTTGTCACTCTGGCATGCCATACATGACTTGTCATCTGCTTTGCGTTTTTCCCAGGAATCTTAATTACATGTCACAAATACTTTTCAAATTTGAAATTCAAAATTCAAATTCTTATACTTTGCCTTATACTACACTACTTTTGACAAGGATGTTTCCATATTTCCATGACACACAAAACTGATTGTCATATGTCAAGTGTATATTTAACAGAGGCCTCTGACGTCAATTTGGACACCTTCAAACGGTTGTATTTCCCTTACGACCCAGCATATGTCTGTCGGATTTGGTATCAAACGTCTCAGAATTTCAAGAGCTTTCCAACGAGCCATCATGCACTAAAATCGCTAAATATTTAAGAAAAATGTGTTTTTCACCTGTCCAGCAAAAGACTTCCAAGCCAGCAAACTGACAAGACATTGTTCTGCCTTGTGTGTTTGAGAAACGCGCCAATTTTCGTTTTTGGAGTAAATGTGCAGGTGTTTTGAAACACTTTGCAGAGACCAAATCTTTTGAAATCTTTTGGAAACCTTCGAAGTCAGTGAGTGAGTGAGTATGGTTTTACGCCGCTTTTAGCAATATTCCAGCAACATCACGGCGGGGGACACCAGAAATGGGCTTCACACATTGTACCCATGTCGGGAATCGAACCCGGGTCTTCGGCGTGACGAGCGAATGCTTGTATATTTGAACAGAACGACATTTCTGATTATCACTATCAAGGGTTGAGCAGTATACGTTTTTTTAAATTCCTAACAATTTTTTTTATTTTAAAAGGCAGTCAACCAACATATACAACATAATGAGAACTTCTGACATTCTTACTTTTTTAACCTTTTTTTTATTTCTTTGTTTCCACACAGTTCAACTTTCACAGGTTACGTTTCACTTTTAAATTTACAAATATAGTAATTCATCTGATAATTTGATATATGCATGACAATGTGTGACATATTATACATTTGTTTCTTTGTTGTTTAATGCAGCACTCAGCAATATTCAAGCTATATGGCGGGAGTCTGTAATTAATCAAGTCTGGACCTGACAATCCAGTGATTCACATCATGAGCATCGATTTACTCAATTTGTTGGTTTGTTGGTTTGTTGTTTAAAGCCGCACTCAGCAATATTCCCGATATATGACAGCAGTCAGTAAATAATCAAGTCTGGGCCAGACAATCCAGTGATTCACATCATGAGCATCGATTTACTCAATTTGTTGGTTTGTTGTTTAAAGCCGCACTCAGCAATATCCCCAATATATGACAGCAGTCAGTAAATAATGGAGTCTGGGCCAGACAATCCAGTGATTGATAGCATGAGCATCGATTAACCCAATTGGGATACGATGACATGCATCAACCAAATCAGCGAGCCTAACCACCCATTAGTCAGTTCTTACGACAAGCATAGTTGTCAAGCATGGGTTTCTGAAGACCTATTCTACTACGGATCTTCACGGGTCATATTATACATAATAGCATGTGATATATGTATGCATGATCGACTACTACATGCATGAGACTGTGATATACACATGATTATCACCTGAGTATGTCATTACACATATATTGTACATATCATGTTTCTATCACTCATTGCTGACAGGTGAAATTGATCACACCTTCTTGGTGTCAAAATGCCATTACGCCTTATACTTCCCTAGTGTACTATTGTCCATATCAGCCCTGTCACTCAGTGAGTGTAATTGACATGCAACGTTGTGAAATTAACATCCAATATTTCTAATCAATACCAATGCACTTAATACACGCAGCAGATGTTCATACAGCTGTGAATAACCTTCAATACACTGTGTATTCCTCTGTAATTTGAATTTCATACATGACAAAGATATGTACTTGAATAAAATGAATACCACAATATAAAAAGTTTTTTCATACACACAGGTATCCTTTAAACATTTAGGATCCCCACATCGTCAAATGAAGTACAAATGTTCGAAATATGGAGCTGGAATTTTCTCGCACATATACTGTCAAAGCGAACGGAAACAAACGGTATCATACTGACACAGAAGCTTGGGTCAATATTTGCTGGACAATGGTCAAGAGATCCCAACAAGGGTTTAACAACCTTACAACGACATTGCAAACAGTCGCATAATATTCCCTTTGGTGTCAGGTCAAGACTTGACTTGTTCGCAAGTAAATATCAAAACTTATCACAGTCACAAAACAGACATAAGATACTTCTCACTAAATTGACAATCTGGTTTCTGAAACTTTGTATCAAAAGGGAGGTGTTTTCATAAAACTAGTTATTACTGCTACTATATCCCACACAACAACTTCCACATATCCAACAAACTTGTAGTCCTAAGGTGAGTGTAGTTATTACTGCTACTATATGCCACACAACAACTTCCACATATCCAACAAACTTGTAGTCCTAAGGTGAGTGTAGTTATTACTGCTACAATATGCCACACAACAAGTTTTACAAATCAAACAAATTTGTAGTCATGAGGTGAGTGCTTGGTTGCAAATTAATCAAATGCAACGATGCACTGACATTGAAGTCTTTGTGGTCCTCAAGCAATTGAAACATGAAGCATCCTAAATAACATGTCTACCTATTAGCTCTCTCGACTGTATCCTATAAAATGCATGACTGACGAAGGCATTAACCCTGGAGCACATTTCCCTGCAATAGGCAACTTGATGTCAACTGAGCAAACGAGATGGGTAGTTCACCTTGGATGCTTTGTCATCCTATTTGCACACAGATTGTACGTCTTGTCTTAAATATACAGCTCATCATCTGATGGGGATAGTTCTATTTGTCCAGGTGGGGACTGCTTGTGTGTTGTCATACAAATAGTATCTGATATTATACCATGGGACAGGTTTCATCACGACGAGCAAACACTTGAACCACTGTGCTAGTCTCTTATACATACCCTTAACAAAAATATAAAAACTCCCAAGCAAGCCTTATAACACTTTAGCGAGTCAAGATTCTCTGGTCCCTGAAATAAAAATATAAAACTCCCAAGCAAGTCTATAACACTTTAGCGAGTCTAGATTCTCTGGTCCCTGAAATAAAAATATAAAACTCCCAAGCAAGTCTATAACACTTTAGCAAGTCTAGATTCCCTGGTCCCTGAAATTAAACAAGTATTTGTCACAGAGTGACGAAATATCCCCCGCCATATACACCATAGTACCAAATATGAAGACAATCCAGCGATTAGTTCTTGAGATATTGTGGCAACACCGTTTTCCAACTCCAAAAACAGATTTGCCTGCTGTGACCTTGAAAATGGGGTCAAGGTCACCAAATCTGACAGGTGTATGCGGTGTCTGTATATACACTATAGTTCCAAATATGAAGACAATCCAGCGATTAGTTCTTGAGATATCGCGGCAACACCGTTTTCTAACTCCAAAAGCAGATTTGCCTGCTGTGACCTTGAAAATGGGGTCAAGGTCACCAAAACCGACTGGTGTCTGCGGTGTCTGTATATACACCATAGTTCCAAATATGAAGACAATCGAGAGGTTTAGTTCTTGAGATATCGCGGCAACACCGTTTTCCAACTCTAAAAGCAGATTTGCCTGCTGTGACCTTGAAAATGGGATCAAGGTCACCAAAACCGACTGGTGTCTGCGGAGTCTGTATATACACTATAGTTCCAAATATGAAGACAATCCAGTGTTTAGTTCTTGAGATATCGCGGCAACACCGTTTTCCAACTCCAAAAGCAGATTTGCCTGCTGTGACCTTGAAAATGGGGTCAAGGTCACCAAAACCGACTGGTGTCTGCGGTGTCTGTATATACACCATAGTTCCAAATATGAAGACAATCCAGTGTCTAGTTCTTGAGATATCGCGGCAACACCGTTTTCCAACTCTAAAAGCAGATTTGTCTGCTGTGACCTTGAAAATGGGATCAAGGTCACCAAAACCGACTGGTGTCTGCGGAGTCTGTATATACACTATAGTTCCAAATATGAAGACAATCCAGTGTTTAGTTCTTGAGATATCGCGGCAACACCGTTTTCCAACTCTAAAAGCAGATTTGTCTGCTGTGACCTTGAAAATGGGATCAAGGTCACCAAAACCGACTGGTGTCTGCGGAGTCTGTATATACACCATATTTCCAAATATGAAGACAATCCAGTGTTTAGTTCTTGAGACATCGCGGCAACAAACAGGTGGGACGTACGGACGTACGGACGGACGTACGGACGGTCGTGAATACTATATCCCCCGCTTCGCGCTTTCGCGCGGCGGGGGATAAATATTAAACTCCCAAGCAAGTCTATAACACTTTGGCAAGTCTAGATTCTCTGGTCCCTGAAATAAAAATATAAAAACTCCCAAGCAAGTCTATAACACTTTGGCGAGTCTAGATTCTCCAGTCTCTTTCTATCAAAAAGTAAAAAAACATAATCTTAAAAGTTTTCATTTCAGGGACACGCTACAAAAACAAAGAAGCACTTACTTATTTCAGCTTGCATGGGAGAGCCGCAGACGTCGATCCTGTACTTCAGACACACCGACACGTTCATCGCATTGACCCCTTGACCGGGAACCTCAATGCTGTCACTGACCATTTCTAAGCACGGGTACACTGTCTCCCACTGACTTCCGGTCTCCTTAGTACGAATATCCACTTTCAGACAATATGTCGGTTCCAGGCCAATCTTCACCACCAGCATGTGGGTGGTCGAGTCAAACGATGGGGGACTATCCAGCGAGGGTATCACCAATTCTAGGACAGACAGGTGAGGTGAGGTGAGGTGAGGTGAGGTGAGGTGAGGTGAGGTGAGGTGAGGTGAGGTGAAATTGGGTTTAACGTCGCGTCCAAGATTATTGCACTTGTATAGCGACGTGCATGCACGTGTGTGTGTGTGTGTGGCTGCTTGTACTAGTCCGGACTGATGCCGATTTATAGTGCTAGCTCACTGAGATACCATGCCGCAGTTTAACATGAATACCCCACTCAGACACAGTATACTGACTCTGAGCCGACCAGTCCTTGTTTTAGCCCCTTAATGCCGAGCGCCAGACAGGGTAACAACATGTACAATCTTTTAACGTCTTTTTGTATGACGCGGCCCGGGATCGAACCCTGGACCTTCCGCTCTCCGGGCGGACGCTCTACCGCAAGACCACGGAGGCGGTCTATGACAGACAGGAGTTGGGTTTAGGGAGGGCATTGTATTTATTATTGCATTTGTTCTATAGGAAAACAAGTAATCTTATATCTGATGACCCTGTTTCATAAAAGAGATATTATAAAGTGACAAAATATGATTAGTTTAAAAAACATGACTTCTTTAATTTCTTTTAGATCATAATAAACCAGCCACAAGTTATCAAACAATAAAATATCAATTTCTATTTGTCCTTAAATTGTTTACAAGAGATGATGATGATGATGATGATGATGATGATGATGAACCAATAACCAGAAAGTATTGACAAGAAAACATAAAAACATCATTTCACATCCCTGTAATGGCTGTTTAAAAGGTAATTTCTTTAGACATTTTTGGAAACACATGGCACAAATTTCTTTTCATTTAAACATGGAACAGACCAAACACTCACCATCAGTAACGACAGGAATCCCGTAAGACGACGCACCTTGGCCGAGATTATTGCGTCCGTACACAAAAAATAAGTAGCTTGTATGGGGAGTCAATTCTGAAAAAATTAAAATTGTTCAAATGTACTGCTTCTCCAAGTTTCATACCATGAACAGCAGTATTCCAGCTACATGGCGACAAACAAGTGATTGATAGTATGATCAACGATCAACACCATCGAGTACGATGTCACACAATCAACAATCGTCGATCAGTACCATCCAATCTACCTGCCTTGTAAGACAAGCATTGGTTGATGGGGACCAATTCCAAACTTGAACCCCCATGGACGTCAAAATAATTAAAGTGGGAAATTACCTGATTAAAACTTGAATAAGAAATCATACCAATTAATCTGAACAAATACCAATCTTGTATGGAAGTTGTCATGGCCAAAGGGAGATAATTCAACGACACTGCGCATATGAAGCACTCTTAAATTCCCAATTCAAATTAGTTAGAAACTCAAATTCAAGGAAGAGAACGTAAAATGCACAAATAACATGGTTTATAGTCAAAGGGGAATAACTCAATAATTACAAAACTAACAAAGTATTGAATTTGAAATCTATCAAACAAAAGAGACAAGCTAATGTTTTAAATACATTTAACATTTTAAGTTTCGTGACTTTGCATAGTAGTTAGTGTAAGTATAATGAACCGACTTCTGACAACCTCTCAACACATTTTCATCTCTTTGAGTTGTCTTGATGAAGATGCAAGACATGTAGAGATGCAGTCAATAATATGCCACTCAACATTTGTTAAGGACCACACATTTGATAGTCTGTCTTACAGACCCTGATACAAATATATATCAAATATTGCCCAAGCAAGTCTATAATGTTTGGTAAGTCTAGATTACTGCAGTATCTGAAAATGAAGAGAGTCACTGGGCTCCCTTTTATTATATTTTTATTAAGATAACTGAACAACTGTTTTTTCTGTACGATATGTTCATTTCAGAGACTAGATGTTAGTCTACACATTTGACTAAAGATGATTATTTCGTTCCTAATTGGTGCTGTATGTTTGTATTTATTAATTAACACACAAATGTGTACAAGTATGATTTTTGCATCATGGTATCTGAATTATTTAGGTTTAAAATCATATTTCTTCAGAAAAATTCTGTGATAAGGAAATTGTCTTTTCAGGTGATATACTCAAAACCCAGACACCACCAAATCACAAAATTTAATATTCAGAAGTGAGTGAGTGAGTTGGGTTTAATGCCGCTTTTAACAGTATTCCAGTCATATTACGGCGTGTCAGCTTAATGTGGGAGGAAAGCCTAAAGTGATGCAGATCTCAGACGTTTACCACTTCGATGAAACCCACGAGCACGGGTATGGTGCTGACAAACCTAGAAACATAATCAGGGTGAACCGGGATTCGAACCCACAATCATAGGTTTCTGGCGTGCCCAAGGTACGCAACTCTGCACAGCGAATCGCGGCGCCTTAGACAACTGGGCCACCCGTGCCCCCTTTCAGAAGTGAGAAGTGAGAAGGTACAGAGAAAGAAGGCGGGCATTAATCTTACCAGTGATTACCACTTGTCTCAGGTTACCTCATTCTATTTTAATGTTAATCAAGTTTCAGGCAAAGACTTGAAATTAATTCTGTTATACTTATGTGCGAATGTACCCGTGAAGATCTGGGTTAGATTTCATCTTCAGCAACCCATGCTTGTCGTAAGAGGCAACTAACGGGATTGGGTGGTCACACTCGCCGACTTGGTTGATGCATGTCATAATATATCAATTGCTTTGATTGATGCTCATGATGTCAATCACTGGATTATTTAGAGAGCGCCATCATATAGCTGGAAAGTTGCTGAGTGCGGCGTTAAACAACAAACAAACAAACAAACAATATTATGTTCTGTGCAAACACCAGAAAACCAATCGTAATGAATGTGATCTACACTCACTCGTAACATTGAAGAAGGCGACCCTGGATGGTTTGACCTTCACCTCCTTGATGTCGTTGCCGGCACTGTAGCGTATAAAGAAGTCTTGAGGTGCACCGCCATCAAACCCCTCGTTCCATGTGAGCGAGACCGACTCCCATGTCTTGCTTCTTGCCATCAGGCCACTGGGGGCTTCCGGGGCCGCTGGAAGAGAATGAGTGAGTGAGTGAGTAAGTTGTTAAATGCCACGTTTTCCATGACATCTGTATCACAGCAACAGAAATCATGTCTATGCTAGGCAAACAAGTGGTTGATAGCAGGAGCAACACTCCATGTTTGGGTACAATGGCACACAAGGTCACTTGCCAATTAAGATTTTCTGATCAATACTCACACACTCACACACACACACACTCTCTCTCTCTCTCACACACACTCACACACACACACACACTCACACACACACACACACACACACACACACACACACACACACACACACACACACACACACACACACACTCACACACACACACACTCTCACACACACACTCTCTCTCTCTCACACTCACTCACTCACACACACACTCTCTCTCACACACTCTCTCTCACACACTCTCTCTCTCACACACACACACACACTCACTCACACACACACTCTCTCTCTCTCTCTCTCACACACACACACTCTCTCTCACACACACACTCTCTCTCTCACACACACACTTACACACACACACACACATGTCCGTCACTAGACAAGTGCATTACTCTTGAACACAACGCAAAGCCCCATGTCATTACAGCCCATTACAAAAACTTTATGAAAACAGAACAGTGAATACTCACATTTCAGAGACAACGTGACAGGTTTGGAGTTATTCCCAAACGAGTTTTCCATCCGACACGTGTACCCTCCGAGGTCGCCCTGAGTGACATCCTGGATCGTCAGCACACTCTGGTACTTGGCAGTCTCTCCCAGTGCCTCCAGACGCGTGGAATAGCGACCTCCATCGGAGACCTCCACCTTGTCTCTGTACCAGCGGAAGGTCGGGGTCGGGTTGGCACGAGTTATACACGGCAATGCTGCGGTCTCCGCAACATCAACGGCAACCCGTTCCTGTCCCAGACTCACGAGGGGTTTGACTGCAATGGAAGGATTCGTGTGGAATATGTTGGCTTAAACTTAAAAACGTGTTCCACAAGGAATTCAAAAGTTACCATTTCACATTATACTGCAAGGTCATAATATGATACATATCGTGATACTCATGTTCACGTCTAATTGCGGGCAAACTTCTTACTATAAATATTTCGGAGCAAGTTAAAAAAGAAAATCTAGCTGTAGCCACAAGTTCGTAGCGGCTATTATTGGTAGTGAACTTGAAATGCTAATTACAACGCATTTTGCGATATTTGACTGACAAAAAAACCTCTAAGGTCATTAAATGAGTAGAAAAGGATTTACTTTAGCAAGTGTATCATCTTGTATCGATACAGAAAAAAACATATCATGTATCGTATTGTTTCACCCTTAGTAGCCTCAGAGTCGTACATGGGATACAAAAAAATCCATATTTGGTATGCTGATTGAACATCTAAAACACCATAATAGTTTTCGTCTGTGATCAGCATTCCGCCTTTGAGGACAGACAGAGAGACGTAAATAGAGAGAGCGAGATAAAGAGACAGAGAGAGACACAGAGAGACAGTATATGAGAGACAAGCAGGTGTACATACACTGAACGTAGACGCTGGCCCTGCCGCTGACGGTGGCGGTGTGGGTGGGTGCCTCCACACGACACGTGTAGTTCCCGATGTCCTCTACCCGCAGTCGTGTCTGGCCCGACGACGTCATGTTCCGACCCCCGCCTACATCAAGACACACATTACAGTTTCACAGTCCAAGGCAGTAACAGTGTGTACAACCTCCTGCACCTTGCATGATACTAGACACTTTCTCCCTTCAATGTCATGTTATACACAGCCAAACACCGTTGTGTCGAAGTTACAGTGATCTACATCAAGACACACATTACAGTTTCACAGTCCAAGGCAGTAACAGTGTGTACAACCTCCTGCACCTTGCATGATACTAGACACTTTCTCCCTTCAATGTCATGTTATACACAGCCAAACACCGTTGTGTCGAAGTTACAGTGATCTACATCAAGACACACATTACAGTTTCACAGTCCAAGGCAGTAACAGTGTGTACAACCTCCTGCACCTTGCATGATACTAGACACTTTCTCCCTTCAATGTCATGTTATACACAGCCAAACACCGTTGTGTCGAAGTTACAGTGATCTACATCAAGACACACATTTCAGTTTCACAGTCCGAGGCAGTAACAGTGTCAACAACCTTGTGTGCCTACATAAATACTTTGAGTTTTCCGAGGTCCGACACCACCGTAAATTATGAATAAAGAAGTAATAGGCAGGGACCAGGCTTTTTCTTTGAGACAACTACCCCGGTATAAGTTTGACACATCAAAGTTTGACACAACAATGTTTGACTGTATGCTCCAAAGACGTAGAAATCATAACTTGAATTTTCAAATGTCATTCTTACTAAAATCTCGAGGTTCAAGAAATTCAGGCTAGTGCCTTATCTTACCACTAAATGCTTCAAGGTTATAAAATAGTAACAATATTTTCCATACAACTATCGATGTTCAAACAATTGCCTGTTTTCTTTACAATTTTTTTCATATTTTTGGTCACTTTCATGACACTTGTACTTGCATCAAAACAGAACTCGTCGCATTTTTTCTTTACACTCACCCCTGAAGTAGAGAATATTTGTAATGATGAATCTGTGGGAATTCACAGTTGTATTTGTCTGTTCGATGGTGTAGAAACTTGGATAAAGGGTTGTTAGGGGAACGTCATCATTGTTCTTGAACCAGGAGATGACGGGTGATGGCCGACCTTGGGCCACACATTTGATCTCAATGGGATTTGGGTCGGAGAGTGGGACGTGAATTTCCGCGTTGTTCGGACTTTCCGTCAGTGTTGGAGGCTCTGGAAAATCAAATTAAGTTTACTGTATCGTATATAGTTATAGGAGTTTTAAGTGTTGATAACGTAGAGTCAATATATTATTCTCACATGGAATTTAGCATTTTTTTAATACAGGTTATCAGTTGATATTATCAATATCTTTATAATAAAGTGTTCAGTTTCAAATACTGATACATCTACGTAAAGCTTCTCAAAATTCAAATTGAATTTATGTCCATTTTGCTAATATGAACTCTGCTTTTGATTATAGAAAATTGGCACTGATGATGATGATGATGATGATGATGATGATGATGATGATGGAACATAATTTACCATTCACAGATAATGAAATAGTGCTTGACTGTCCCCGTCCGACTTTGTTCTGCGGCGTACAAATATAATCCCCGATATCAGACAAACGTGCGTTGTTTATCCGATACGAGGCTGCGTTCTGGGCCTGGATAACTCCGTCTTTCTTCCATTCAAATGTTGCTGCAGGAAAACCTGTGAAAATTAAAATAAAATTTGACAATAGATGAAAAAACAACTTCATAATATCGCATCATACATAGGTTATCCTGTGATGTTCCTTCTTACAAACATCATAGGAAAAATGGTATAAGAAATTCAAGAACAATAGTTCCCAAATGCAAATCTTTCATTTCAAATTTCATGAGAACAAATTTGCAGACTCATTCAAGATGGAGAATGTAAACATATTGATTTAGTAAATTTAGTTCCTTCATAAAAAAATATTGCAAATGAACAAATAAAAATAAAAAATCATTTCAATCAATCAGTTCTTTAATTCCAGCTAAAAAAATCAATCCTTTAAAAAATGATTTAATATTTCTTGTTAACTTATTCTACTTTTTTATCAGTTTGTCTCAATTTATTTCCAACTCACATTCTAAATCCAGTGAACTGATAGCCATGTGCCCTAACAATCTAAGGGAGATAACTCTTACCTTCTGGGCTGGCCGAACACTTGAGCTCCACACTGTCACCCACGTTGTAGTCACCGACCGGTCTGATAAACGCACTCCCTGGGGGGTCTGGGGAATAAACAAACCATCCGCAACATCTATCATCCACAGGAGATACAGCAGCAGTGATATGACATCACAATGTTCTGTAGACCATTGTGATGTCATCTGTTACCATGACGTCACAATCATGATGACATCAGTAACCTCTCTGCCATTGTGACTGGTCAGTTGTACTTAATACACTCAAGACACTGGTTATAAATGTTTACAAACTGACGAAGTTTGAAGAATGATTCTGGATGACAAATAGAATCTCAGCCTCGTGTCTGTTGTAACAGGGGAGGTCGGGTAGCCTAGTGGTTAAAGCGTTCGTTCGTCACGCCGAAGACCCGGGTTCAATTCTCGACATGGGTAAAATGTGTGAAGCCCATTTCTGGTGTCCCCCGCCGTGATATTGCTGGAATATTGCTAAATGCGGTGTAAAACCATACTCACTCACTCATTGTTGTAACAAAATATATATCTCAACACCTCAGAGTTTAAAGTTCATGTCTTTGAGCTGATATATTTGATACTTGGGTGAGATACTCTATACACCAAGAATCACTTCACTGTATTGTTTAAGTCCACATTTTGGTATCCAACCATGAAGATGTTGGTGAGAATAGGTTTTCAGCAACCCATGCCATAAGAGGCGACTATGCTTGTCATAAGTGGCAACTAACGGAATCGGGTGGTCAGGCTTTCTAACTGGTTGATGCATGTATCATTGTATCCCAATTGGGTGGACTGATGCTCATGACGTCAATCACTGCATTGTCTGGGTCAGATTTGATTATTCACAGACCACCGTCATATAGCAGGAATAGTGCTGAGTGCAGCGTTAAACAAACAATCAAACAAACATCACTGGATTAAATTGATCAGATAGTCAGGGTCCAGACTTGGTTGAGTGCACGTCTTCAAACCCCAACAGCATGTATTTTGCTCATAATATCACTGGATTGTCTGGTCCAGACTCAATTATATACAGGCCGCCATATACAGTCAAGTCTCATTAATCCGACACGTGTTAATCTGACAAACAGCTTTATCCGACACTAATGATGGGAACCTATTTAATCAGTGCTATTTCGTCCCGTTAATCCGACAGTCTCGCACTCCGACTCCGACACGCCTAATTTGCAACGAAATGCTGAAATCAGTCTCGTCAATCTGACTTAGTGATCAGCGTACTCCGTGGTCATCTGCCCGCGAGTACACAGCCCCGTGATTTGATGAGACGAGTCAGCGAGTAGCTGCATATTTCAACGGCTGCAGAGATAAACTTGCTTAACAATAAACAATTATCTATCGTGTAGTTGTCCAATTTCGATCACAATACTACCTAATTTTGTTTATCCGACATACTCGTTAATCCGACATAAACATATGCAACCAATAATGTCGGATTAACGGGACTTGACTGTAGCTGGAATATTGCTGCATGTAAACTTAAGCACTTACATTCGACGTTGATGTAGGTGAAGGCTTGTTCCATGATATTGACTCCCTCCTCGCCAGAGATTTTCAACTGACTCCACGCTTTACACGTGTAGTTTCCTGCATTGTCGCGGAGAATGCGACTGAACACCAGGTGGCGACTGTTGTCAACGCTGAATGATCCGGGGGAGATCCGCTCCCAGTGGACCTGGTACGGCTCTGGATAAGCATCGTAGTTGCACGTGATGTTTAGTGATGAGCCCTCTTCTACCGTTCTCGAAGATGGGACTGTCAGGACTGGAGGATCTGGAATGAGAGTTATCTCCCTTAGTTATACATGTGAAGCGGCCATAAAATTTCCGAGTCCCGTGATGGGATTCGAACCACGGACCTTCTGATCTGAGGTCGGACGCCTTGTCCACATGACCAAAGAGGTTAACCCCGTCAGCAAGCTGACAAGGTAAGGATGTCATCTGTGGGATGACTCCACGCCCTGCTACATACTCCCCTGTCAACAGAGGCTTATTTTGCTCAAATTCAATGTGAACGTGCTCAGCCCCACGTTGGGCGCCAATGAAAATTTCCGAGTCCCATGATAGGATTCGAACCACGGACAAGGTAAGGATGTCATCTGTGGGATGACTCCACGTCCTGCTACACATGCAACAAGCTCCAATGTAGGATATCTTCGTTACACTCTTGAGAATTTCCTTCTAACCCCAAATGTAATGGCATTTATATTTGTGTGTATGTCTTTGGGAATGAATGCTGTTATAGTGAATTGAGAAAAGATTTACAACCGGCTTACTCACCCAGACGAATTGGTTTGAAATTCCAGACTTACGGAAAATCCACCAACTTCCGCCTTACATTATTACCATAGCAATTACATGATAGTTCAATAAAAATAGAATTTAAATTAACAAACAAACAATACAATGTAGATGGAGGAAGATTATTCAGCGTCACAATTGTCATCACTTGTTTGTAAACATAATGATCAGTCGGATGGAGTTTAACTCCTAGCATGGTGGTATGCTGCCTGTCACTGTGGGGAGCTTTGACTGGTAACTTGAACATTTCCATCTGACACCAAATGTAATGATGTTGATATTTGTGTATGTCTTTGGGTGAGGTGAGGTGATCCAAGATTATTGCACTTATATAGCGACGTGCATGTACGTGTGTGTGTGTGTGTGGCTGCTTGTGCTAGTCCGGACTGATGCCGATTTATAGTGCTAGCTCACTGAGATACCATGCCGCAGTTTAACATGAATACCCCACTCAGACACAGTATACTGACTCCAAGCCGACCAGTCCTTGTTTTAGCCCCTTAATGCTGAGTGCCAGACCGGGTAACAACATGTACCATCTTTTAACTTCTTTCAGTATGACGCGGCCGGGGATCGAACCCCGGACCTTCCGCTCTCCGGGCGGACGCTCTACTACTAGACCACGGAGGCGGTCATATGTCTTTGGGAATGCTATTATAGTGCTATATAGTGAATATCTCCGAAGGGTAGATGAGTCAACTCACATATGACGTTGAGCATAATGGTTCCGTTCTTGGCGCCGTTGATGCCGTTGTTAGCAATGCACATGTACTCTCCGGCGTCACTCTTAATGGCTGGTCGAAACACCCGGCTCTTGGACACTCCTGGAAGTAAAACAGAGACACTGTGTCAGGAGAAATATATTGAGGAATGTCGTTATTTTGTAGCAGCAGCAGTGGTGGTAGTAGTGGTAGTCGTAGTATTAGTAGTAGTAGTAGTAGAAGTAACATCTAGTCTTTCAAATGAACATATTTTACAGAAACAAACAATTAGTAGATTATCTTAATAAAACATAATAAGAAGGAAATAAGATACTTTATCATCCAAAACTGGCTCCCACAGGAGATACTGCTTGGGTGAGATCAAGCGATATCTACACTGTAGATATCGCTGCAATGAAATTGCATCACAATGCTTTGCAGACCATTGTGACGTCATTGGTTACCATGACGTCACAATCAAATGACATCACTAATGGCTCTGCTACTGAAGCTGTTAGCAGTACTTTTTACACTTAAGACACTACTTATTACTGTCTACAAACTGAAAAAGTTGGAAGAATGATGTTGGATGATAAATAAAATCTCACCCTCGTGTCTTTTGATATCAAATATATCACTCGGCAAGCCTTGGAGTTTTCCCACTTTTATCAACTCGTGTTGATATATTTGATATCAAAAGACACTCTGGTGAGATTTTCTATTTCTTCATTTTCAATTTAGACTTGACAAAATTACTTGCATGGGCTGTATTGGATTCATTTTCTCAGCGGCAATGGTATATTTTACTGGTACTTCATTTTCTCAGGGTCAATACTATATTTTACTGCTGCTTCATTCAATTTTACATCCAGCAAATACGAACCCTGACGTTATTGTGCCTTTCCTTAGACATTCGTCAAACTCACAGTTTGTCATTGATCCCTGGTTGTGATATGTAGTGAAACTTGGAATTCCGTTAATGAGATCATGTTAAAGACATCGCATCTTGTCATGGAGAATCCACGTGAACTTAAAGTTCTGCTTCCATCACTCCCCTTGTCTCGAAGTTGTGAAAGTTTAACAGTGTCCTGTCTACCAACAACACTACAATCACTGGCAGATCCAGAGACAGGTGGAGATGCTAGGTGTCTGACCTTCATCCCCCTTTTTCAAAACCCTTGATCCACCTCTCACTACAGGTGTGTATAATTGACTAGGAGAGTTTATTTAATTACAGGTGATCTTAATTGACTACAGGTGAATTTATCTGACTACATGTGTGTTTATCAGAGTACAGGTGAGTTTTTCAAGCTGCAGGTGAGTTTCTCTGACTACAGGTAAGTATCTAATTACAGGTAAGTTTATCTCACTACAGGTGTGTATAATTGACTAGGAGAGTTTCATTAATTACAGGTGATCTTAATTGACTACAGGTGAGTTTATCTGAGTACAGGTGAATTTATCTGACTACAGGTGAGCTTATCTGACATTACCTGTAAGGGGTTGATCATTTTTTCGCCAGGTTACCGTGGAGACCGGGGGGTTGGCATCAACGTTACACTCCAATGTGGCGTCCTCTGCATCTCGAATGTTGAGCAGGTCATCAAATGGTGCGAATGTTATAAATGGGGAATCTGAAATTAGGAAATTCACAACAATTGATCAAGGGATCATTTCAGAATCATAAATCTCAAGAAATGCGATTAAACATCAGATTTTTTTAATCAACATTGAAAATAATGAAATTAAACTTATTCTTACTCTGTACATGTTTGGACCATACTTTTTCAGAATATACTCCAAATGTATAAAGATTTCAAAATGAAAAAAATAAAAATGATACCAACATATTTAAAATTGAATACCGTATTCGACGTAATATGCGCACCGCTCTAATAAGCGCCCACGGTGATATTTTCTAATATATTGGCTAGTGAACAATCCCAATTAGCACCCCTTCCGATTGATCAATGTACACATGACTTATTTATTCGTGTATAATACGTATGTTATATGCATTTTTAACTATGGGAAATTAAATTCTGGAAAAAATATATCTGTCGCATATAAACATTTCAGGCTGTCAGCATAAACCATGAAATTTACGATCTTTCAACTCTGTTGTTTTTCACCAAAATAATATTCTAATAAGAGCCCCCTATTTCTAACTTTGAGAGCGCCCTGGGTGCTTATTATGTCGAATACGGTACTAAACAAAGTATCAAAAGTATGACTTGTCATCATAACTGATTCTCAGCTTCTGAAGCCTTCATCTTTGAACAAAAATGTTTTTTGAGATAATTATACAATCCCCATCACTTGTCCTTCAAACACTCTCAAACAAAAATAAACTTGTATTTTCATTTACATATTCCTTTAATCTTTATGTTGACACATTTTCTTTGAAAAAAGCTTGCAACATGGAGTTCAATCTTTGTCACAATATCAAAACTATATAAAATATCAATAATACTTACACTGAACTTGTAAAACTTGGAATGTCCCGAGTGGATTTTGTGCATTCACTTCATTAAAAACAACACATGTATAATTAGCTTGGTGATCCGTCCTATCTAACACAATAGCTAAATGACTAGACGTTAACCCCCCTATTGTAGGGGCTGGGTTATTAATAATATTGTCAAGTTGAACTTGTCCATTTTTTAACCAACGAATTGTTGGGTTTGGGTTGCCTCCCCTTGATTTACAGGTGAGGCCCAGCACTTGGTTCTCTCTGTAGGGGTTCCCCGTGGCGTTAGCTTCGATGCTTGGTGGATTCGGAGGCACTGGAATTATAATACAAACATTGCGTAACAAAAAACTCAACAGTTAAGGAGAATGACTTTTGAAAGTTTATATCTACCTACATTTGATCTGGCCATTGTGCAAAAGTAGATTTCAATCTTCACTGACCCTCAACCTGACCTTTGACCCTCAACCTCTAACCTTATCCTTGACCTTGACCCTTAAACCTCAAACCTGACCTTTGACCCTGACATGGCATTGCTCATGATAAATCCTGTTATTTCTGAACATATCAAAATATATCAGGTCCAACCTTCTCTTGTTATGAAACTTGAATGTTACTTTGTATAAATATTTCTTACACTCCAATGTAACTTATCAAAGAGATTTCTCCTTATTTTTCAATCACAGACTTTTATAACAGTTATCAAAATGAACTACAATTAAATACAAGAATATCATCAGCAAAGTAACAAAATTAATACTTACGCAAAACGGTCAGATTTGCTGCCTCAAGTCCAAGATCTTTCACATTGCATATAAATTGTCTATTATCTTCTTTTTTAATATTTGTTATAACTAAATTAAACTCTCCTTGGATGATGTAATTTTCCGGTGCATTGAATCGGTTGCCATCTTGAAACAAGATATTGTAAGTAGAATCATGCCAGATGACCGTTCGTGCTCCTCGGTCATCAATTTCACAATGAAACGTCACGTTGCCTCCGACCGCCACACTCTGGCTCTGGGGCTTCCTCTTCCATGACAGCGCTGATGATGCTGCAAGACAAAATGTAGACATTAGCATTCCGAACAACCAGAGTCATCTCCCTTTGGTATGTACAAAAAATCAGAGTAATCTCCCTTTTGTTTCAGGAGAACGAGAGTGATCTCCCTTTAGTTTCCACACAGCCTAATCAATAGCTAAACAGTATTGATAATCCTTCATGTACATGACCACCCCACTAGGACTGGGTCAGGTAACTCGGGTACTCGGGTCGGGTGGGTACTGAGTAGGGCCTGGGTACCCACAGGACTACCCAGACCCGTGGTTAGACACAGGATATATTGTTTAATGACAAAAAGCTCCATGGTAAAACTGTAAATCACAAATGTTCACATTTCTTTCTGACTATGCATGCATTCCTTCTGACTTTTATGTGTTTTAATAAAAATATATCTTCAGTCAACCTCAGTGTGTGCATGACCAGATCGTTTTATAGTGTACAAAAATACTTTCTGACCGGGCTCTTGTCAAACAATTCCCAAGCGACCATTTTGTACCTATCTCTTGAGACCTACAGCGGGTATCTGGGTAGGGTCAGGTAACTCGGGGGTTCGGTCCCCGGATAGTTCATTTGGATTGTCCCAGCCCAGCCCACCCCCTCAACATGCACTGGCTGACACTACAACCCCCCAAAAACATCCCCACCCCCCATAGTGGCAATATCACGACTTGGGACAACAGAAATTTACCCATGTAGGGAATTGAACCTGGACCTTCAATATGATGAGTGAACGCTTTAACCACTTGGCTACCCCACCGCCATTGCTCTGTACACCCAGCTATTTCTTACAGGCTATCAGTTTTAAAGGGAAATATTTTTACGAATCTTGAAAGCACAGCTAGACCTAAAATATCTGTGAATAGGTCCATCTAAGAACTCTGTTTTTCAGTGATTTTATTTTAATCTTTGCTAAATTTATGTCAGGCCTATAAACAAACCAGAAAAAACAAACATTTTAGCCAATTTTATTTCACCTGGTTTTTAAAACGATGTGTTAAAAGAAATGGCTGCGAATCCACAGCTCATCAAAGCCTCTAGTGAGACTACGACGTACAAAGATGGACATTCATCCACTCGCTTCCTGATTCCTCGCTCCGAACACCGCTTTGAAACCCCTTCTCGCCTCCTAATGACAAAATAATAAGCAAATCCCCTTGTGGGCCCCTCCTTATCACTCCCTGATCTAATCAAACTGTGTTTTATTTCAAATGGGAATTTAATTGCTGGTTATTTTGGAGGCTATTAACACTATGAGCAAAGATCTTCTATCAATTCCATGTTAATCAACGCTTGCTGAGGAGGTGTTTTTTAAACTCATTTGGTTCATTTTTTTCAATTTTTGCAATTGTTTAAAAACTATTCCAGTAATGATATAGGGATTAAATTATTTATTCTTTCCTCCAAATCACGGTCAATTTACATAAAATGTTACCAAAACATTTGTCTTGGTGTGGCAGTTTGTTTGAAAGCAAATCAAATTCTCTCATTTGGCTTCCTGTTATGCTGAGTTAATTGAAAATTATTTTTTTCCCCCCATTTTTTTAAATACAGATCCTCTTTGTGGTGTTTATGTTACTTTACACCTGTCCCTTGATTCCACAGCAGGAAACAGGTTTTTTTCATGGTACATTTTCCATCATGAGGAAAGCAGTCCCCGAGTTATCTCCCTTTGACCATGAAAAGTTTCAAATCTTCACCAACATATTTTCATTACATTTAGGGTATCAAGAACTTATCAACACCAAAACTATTTCAGAACTTTCAGAATTAATGTCTAGATTGAGATTTTGGTGAAAATAAAACATCGCTGAAAAGTAAAATTGGATTTCAGACATACCTATCAATCAAACATAAAGATCAAAATGCCACTGTTAATCCATCGCTGCTTGTTTAATGGTAGGGTTTATTCTAACTTTGAAAAATAGTTTATAGTGATAAGTTTTGCCATTTTGATCTTTTGCTAGCCTCAGTGAAATTAATGAATAATTCTGTGCCGTAATAAAAATGTCACTGCATGTTATACAGGAAATATTAGTCAGTTCATAATATCCCACATCACAAGATTTTATAAAACTGCATATTTTTTATCTTCATCACTGTATAAAATTCAATAACTGATAGCCGATTCTAAGATGCTTTGGCGTGTAATATCACATGAAACTGAACTTACGATTGTTATATCAATAAAGGCTTAAATCAAATTTGGATCTTTCTCACTGAAACAGAGACCAGACATTTATCACACGACAAAAACTCTGAAGGCTGTAAAATCATAAAACTTTCAATCAGAGACACTTTGATTGCTTCCTGACTTCCGACCAAAGCTGAAAGATTCTTCAGAAATAATCATGATTGCAACCAAAATCGGTCTCGGCCAAAGACGGATGTGGTAGAAAAATATTAATTAATGTTGGTTTCCGTGAGTAAACACTTTTAGATGCGATGAGATCTGATGTTTATATTAGTTACCGTGGCGATGTGATTTGATTAGAAGTATTGACTTGTGAATTCATCGGAGATTCATTCATGTCTGATTCAGCCAGTCATGAAAGATACATTTTGCAGATATCAACGTGACGTTTATAGCCTACAAAGACCACGAGGAACAAATTCAGGACATTTTACACCTTTCATCAAAAATTTATATTCTCCATAACATTCAAATATTTGTGATAGTAGGCTATTTATAGTGCTTGTTGCATTTTATCGTTCTAGGTACTTACATCAGTACTTACTACAGAATTACCTACAGAACGTGCTACAGTATTTACTACAGAATGTGCTACAGTATTTACTACAGAACTTGCTACAATATTTATTACAGAACGTGCTACAGTATTTACTACAGAACTTGCTACAGTATTTACTACAGAACTTGCTACAGTATTTACTACAGAATGTGCTACAATATTTACTACAGAATGTGTAACAGTATTTACTACAGAATGTGCTACAGTATTTACTACAGAATGTGTAACAGTATTTAATACAGAACATGCTACAGTATTTACTACAGAACGTGCTACAGTATTTACTACAGAACTTGCTACAGTATTTACTACAGAACTTGCTACAATATTTTCAACACTTTTTGATATAGTGCACATCCTGCCAGTCTTAGTGCTACAAATGTTGAATGATTTTAGAACCAGAATTAATAACCAAAATTTGATAGCCACTGAAAATACAATAAATATTTTTCAGATGTATTATCAACACTTAACAAAAGAAAACCCAATTGCCGGTACTTTGAAAGGTTTGTTGTTTGTTGTAAAAGACCTCATGTCATTACCATAGCATCAAATCTCTTTTCCACACAAAGTGTCTATTTCATACCAATTAGTCCTGCTGCTGATGCCAAAGATGATGAATTGCCCAAAGATCCACCATCCACACAATCAGCTTGCTAACGATCGGACATCGATAACGGAACCGCCCATCATCAATAAAAGATTCTGGGATCAATTTACTGACACTCATGCCAAGAAAAAATGATTGCGCTCGCAAACATAAATAACTTGTCTTTATAAGAAGGAGCTATTAATAACCGGGCGATCTGGTCGTATCACATTCTTTGTAAATATTGTTGGAACTACACAAGCTTATTATAGCCTCTTGCTTAGAGATCTGCCTTTGGTCAACATGGTGCATTATTATCAATTCATAATGCATTATTATCAAATCATAATCCATAATGTGATGTAAGTGTAATTTGGAGACGTGACTATAAACAAATACCTGGACTCACAATAAGGAAGAGTATTTATGGATGCCAACTTCTTTATTATGAGGAACACATCGTTTCAGAGTATATGCTTACTCCTTCATCAGGTGAAGTTGGCATCCATAGATTCTCTTCTTTATGTGTATGACTTCTAAATGCCTTTCAAAGGCTTGATGTAGTCACCATACTAAACATTTTACATTAATTAATTAAATTTAACAACAAATCAATTGTTTTTAAAGCTTTTCAAAAGTTCAAAATAACACATATTTTGATTAAAATAATGAAACATGATCCGTTTCACCCCAAAACTTTAAAGAATAACTTTTTAACACATTTGTGCATATGTAATATTTTATCTACCAAAGTGACAATTCATAAAACAGTATTTTATCTGAGACTCACCAATTGAAACGCATTCCTGACAATGGATATAAAATCATAACTGGATTCTGTTGCTGTAACTACAAGAACATATTGAAGTCAAGGTCACAGTGAAAGGTCATAATATTATTATCTGGAAATGTAACTACTTGAAGGTGAAGGTGAAGGTGAAGGTGAAATGGGGTTTAACGTCGCGTCCAAGATTATTGCACTTATATAGCAACGTGCATGCACGTGTGTGTTTGTGTGGCTGCTTGTACTAGTCCGGACTGATGCCGATTTATAGTGCTAGCTCACTGAGATACCATGCCGCAGTTTACATGAATACCCCACTCAGACACAGTATACTGACTCCGAGCCTACCAGTCCTTGTTTTAGCCCCTTAATGCCGAGCGCCAGACAGGGTAACAACAAGTACCATCTTTTAACGTCTCTTGGTATGACGCGGCCGGGGAACAAACCCCGGACCTTCCGCTCTCCGGGCGGACACTCTACCACTAGACCGCAGAGGCGGTCTTATCCTAAGGTTATGAAGAATACGGTAGAAAGTGGATGATTTGCCACCATGGTAATTTGGACTCAAAGAATGGTGGAATTTACTTCTCTACTTATTGATACTGAAAACTAGGGTTATGACATGATCCTGTCAAATAATGAAGCCGTCAATATCAGCTGCATTTGTTTCCATATCTATCATTTCAAACAAAAAATACTCCTTCATTTTATGTACAATAATATCATCAAATATGTAATAATGATTGTTTGGTTTTTGTATGTGTCTACAGGAATGTAAATTATGTATGTCTGTATATATGTATATATGAATCATAATGTTTTGTCTTTTAAAATTGCATGTCCCGTTATGGAACGTTTCTGCAATAAAT